ACCAGCAGTATCTGTACTTTCACTCAAGTAATGGAGTGTGTACTTTGTCACTCGGTCATACTTAGACAGCTGATGTATTATACAGCACAGTTTAAATAATGTATTAGATGTGGCTTTTGTTTTTTAATACAATATAAATAAATTATGAGATTGAATGTGCCATTTCTGATACTTAAAATAATTGTACAGGAGTAACAATATTGAAATGTTCTTGTAGTTATATTCCATTATAATTTGTATCATTTATATTTGCTTTTCAAATGGACTCTTGCATAGGAACATCTCAGGGAAACATTTTATTTACTATGGGCTATCTACAAGAGTAAAAGAACCAAAACGCCAGAAGACATTGAGCAAATAAATATAACAAACAATAGGGTAAAAAATGACAAACTATTTCCAAGTTTTCCACCTTTTTTTATGTAGCCTATGGAAATCACGCTTTCCTTCTCCCGTTCTCTCAGTCGCACACAGTAGGCCTACAGACACGCACTCGCGCGCACACACAGAGACATGGACAGAAACTTCCCAAATCACATTTACATTTAGTCATTTAGCAGACACATTTATCCAAAGCGACTTACAAATGAGGACAATAAATATATATATATAAATATATATATATTAATATTATACACACACACACACACACACACACACACAAAGAAAAACAAGTAGATAGAATAGAAAAAATAGAAAGCTAGTGTTTTTTTAATAAAAAAAGAAGATAAATATAGATAAAGTAGAATTAAAATATAATAGAAAGTGCTAGAGTTAGAGGGTCAAATAAAGGTGGAACAGATGTGTTTTTAGTCGTTTCTTGAAGATGGTTAAGGACTCAGCTGCTCGGATTGAGTTGGGCAGGTCATTCCACCAGGAGGGAACATTTAATGGAAAAGTCAGTGAAAGTGATTTTGTGCCTCTGAGATGGCACAATAATACGCCGTTCACTTGCAGAACGCAAGCTTCTAGAGGGCACATAACTCTGAAGTAAAAGATTTGGAGGCCACTCTTGCCAGTCTTGGGGCTTTAACAACTGAAAGCAAGGCAGTCTGAAGCCAGACTGGTTGCTGTCCAGGATGTTGTTCTGTGTGAGAAAGGCTGAGACTTGGTTGAATACAACTCGTTCAAGTGTTTTTGCAATGAAGAGAAGAAGGGAAACCGGTCTGTAGTTCTCTAAAAGAGTTTAAGAGTGGGTTTCTTAAGAAGTGGGGTTAGCAAGGCAGTCTCGGTTGAATGTCCACTTCTGAAGCCAGATTGGTTGCTGTCCAGGAGGTTGTTCTGTGTGAGAAAGGCTGAGACTTGGTTGAATACAACTCGTTCAAGTGTTTTTGCAATGAAGAGAAGAAGGGAAACCGGTCTGTAGTTCTCTAAAAGAGTTTAAGAGTGGGTTTCTTAAGAAGTGGGGTTATACGAGCCTGTTTAAATGCTGAGGGAAAAACACCAGTGTGAAGGGATGTGTTAACAATGTGAGTGAGTGCAGGTACAACGGCAGGAGAAATGGCTTGAAGGAGATGAGATGGAATAGGATCAAGCGGACAAATAGTAGGATGATTGGAAAGGATGAGTTTAGAGACTTCTGCCTCAGAGAGTGGAGAGAAGGATGAAAACGAGTGTATGTTTGCTGGTAAGATGTGCTTGACAGATTGTGGTGTGGAAAATTGTGCACTGAGGTTTGTAATTTTAATTAATGAAGAATGTGGCAAAGTCGTCAGCTATTAGAGTTGATGGAGGGGGACAAAGGAGGGATGAAAATGTTTTAAAGAGCATGCGAGTTAGGCAAATTGTTAATTTTGTTGTGATAGTATGTCTTTTTAGCAGTGGAGACATATTATCAGAGAATGAAGAGAGGAGTGATCGATATACATTAAGGTCAGTAGGATTTTGTGATACCAGTACCTCCACCTCTTCCAGGCAGATGGGGGGAGAGGGAAAAAGAGAAATTATTTGAGAGTGCTGCAGGTGTAGCATTGTCCTCTGGTTTGATCCACATCTCTGTCAGGGCCATGAGGTTTAGTCTCAAATTACTTGTAATAGAAGTAATAAAATCTGCTTTGTTTACAGCAGACTGGCAATTCCAGAGACCAATAGAAAAAGAAAGTAGTGTATTAGTAGACATAGGCAAAGTGCGCAGGTTGTTAGGATTGCGCTGCCTACAGTGTGTGATGCATGGTTTGCGAGTGTTAGTGATAGTAGGGATCTGGAAACACATAGTAAGTATTGGTATTACAAATATAATAAAAAAAAAAATAATAATAAATATAATATATATATAAAAATAATAAACAGAGTAAAGGGTTATGCGCAGGGACGGACTGAGAGTAAAAAACCGCCCTGGATTTTCTGCCAAATAGGCCCACCACAACTACAAATGGTCACTATTATTTCACAATATTACAGTAATCCTATCGCATTTAGGGCAAATAACATCACAAAACCCATGGTGACCCTGCTGACAAAAACAACAGAAACCATCACAGAAATTCAAATGATTTCCACTACAAATACCTTTACAAACATTACAAACCATCAACTTTTAACCATTAACATTCCTGTAGTGTGTTTTGGGACATATTACATTAGGATTTAGTGGCTTTAATAGTGGCCATGAATGGACTGGTGACCAATTACCAGTAGAGACCAACAGGCACCATTACAGTTTCCATTAAAACCAATACAATTTTCATTATAACCAGTAAAACCATTACAAATTATGTGACACTTTCTATTTTTTTTTCAACAGATGATTGAAATAAATGTATTATTGTATGAACTAAAATCCTTGAAATCGACATAAAAAGAGCAGAATGCAAAATGTATATGATAAACATAAACCTAGAATCTAGAAACCTGAAACAACAGAATTCTTCAATTTGATTAGATTTTTATTTGATTTCATATGTCTGTGTGTGTGTGTGTGTCATGTTAATCAGATTAATCACCTTAGAGGCTACTTCTTTTACTCTATTTTCTAACTCAATATCTCTCAAATGTAACCCGTCATAGAATCGCTGCTGTTTCTTTATGAATGAATGTAATATTTGTGCCAGACAATGTGGAGTGATAAATAGCAGTGGACGCTCGGACCTGGGATTTTACTATGCTCTATAGTGAGAGAGGCAGGCAAAGGCAACCTGATGTAACTGTTCGCTTTTTTTCCTTTTACCTTCTCCCAACCGCCTTTATCTTCACGTCTTTTGCTTGCCATCATGAGCCCACTCTCCTTCGCGTTAGTTTCGGTTTCTTATAAGCAAAAATAGATTGCCCCTTTTGTTGGCCGTCAACGTCACTTAATCTGACACTTTTTCTTTGATGATGAACCAGCCAGGCCGACGGCTGTTCTGGACTCCAGAACGTCCAGATGGCCAGTCCTCCCCTGGTTATGACCCAATTTTTTTACTCTAGAAGTATTGGTGTAACTTATCCTGCTTATAGGATTTTTTTTCACACAACTAAACACACGCATACGTTTGTCCATACAGATTTTAATTATCTTTAAAGGTATTTAGATAGTATTTATTAAAATAACTTATTTTCATTCTTGGCTGGTATCTTCAGAAGACTTAATTGGGTATAAACAGTTTTTTGTTACCAGTCTCTTGTGTGTTAAGTAACATTACTATTCTTAATACCATTAACATTTACTTTCATTGCTATTGTTTTACATGCCCTGTGTGGGATAGTTCACCCAAAAACGCCGGCTCCTGTATCAGCAGCACCACACACATACGTTGTGGTATTCTTGTGAACGTGCAACGACTGACACAGAAGTAAAAAAAAAAAAATGGTTTGTTTTCTTTTGTGCACAAATAGTATTCACGTGGCTTCATAAAATTAAGGTTGAACCACTGATGTTACATGGACTATTATATCGATATCCTTACTACTTTTCTGGGCCTTGAACGTGGTAGTTGCGTTGCTGTCTATGGGAGGGTCAGAGAGCTCTCGGAATGCATCAAACATATCTTCATTTGTATTCTGAAGATGAAAGGTCTTACGGGTTTGGAATGACATGAGGCTGAGTAATTAATGACAGAATTTGAATTTTTGGATGAACTTTCCCTTTGAAGTGAAAATCTACTGAAGGCCACTGTTTTTTTTTTGTGTGTGCTACACATTTATTTAGGTGGATCCATTTGCCAGCATGACATAATAGACACATTAATAATCCATTTGCCTGGATAAAGCAATAAACTGATAAACTTTTTTTGAGTCCATTACAGAATGAGCTAATTGTCGATTTTAGATTATCAAGGAACAATGCAGACTAATGTATTTTTGAGTATATTGGTTTATTTTCCAATTATTATGTTGTTTCAAACAGCACTTGAGAAATATTGCTGTTATGATATAATGATATGATCCCTCGCTGGTGTTGTCTTTTCTTAAATACTTTCTCTTTCGTTCTCTTGTGTGTTCCCCATGTTATACATCCAGCAAGGCAAAGTGTCGTGGCTTATGGAGCTAAACTCTGATGTTTAACAAAGCACCGTAATGAGTGGGAAAGTCTGGATATTGATCACTGTGAGTTATAATCAGTCTTTGCTAATATATTAGTGGAGGTCCTTGGAAGCCTCTCAGTGAGGTGTTGTGTGGCTGCAGTTTTTTTTATTACACCTTGTTAAAGATAGCCCATGTTAACTGTTTTACGAGAAGTAATCTACACACAGTGTTTCCATAAGATACATAACATAAGATTAATTATTTCAGATGACAGTTGTCCAGAGGTGGGACTTGATTTTTGGCCTTTCTTTCATAGGCAGTTTCATTCATCACCCATGTTTACCATGTCCAGTCCAAGTGCATGAAGCAAGACATTAAGGCACATCTGGTGAGTCTATCCTTCATTGTTTTTGCGATTTTCTGCCCATATCATCACAACTAAATCTGAGGCTTGTTGCCTTTCATCCTACACATTTCTGAATTTTTAATTTGGGAAAGCATCCTGCAATAATGTGCACATTTTAAGTGTTTTCTAAAAAGAGGTTACTGCCATAATATTAAGTCATGTTATATGTCCATAACAGCTAACATCTCACAATATGTAACTGTGTTATCATTCTTACATCTAAGTGGGGTTTTTTTTGACAGTGGGAAAATGTATTTTGTTCTGTTAGTAATTCTACACAGAATTCAGTACAATCTAAAAGTGGCTTGGTTAACATATGTAAATGTCTTTGTTATATCAAAACATCAGAACACTTAGCATTTATTTTTCTGACTTTGTTGAACATTGTTAATTCAATAAAGTAGTGGTTATTCTACCAGGACATTTGTGCGAACTTGAGGAGAACTGGCTTCATTCATCTATAAAAGTGTAAAAATGGTTAAATTAATTGAAAGAGTGGAAATGTTAAGTTTGTTCTGAGAAAAGCTTTAGCATCTTTTTTTTGTTTGTGCAGATGCCACCTGGGCTGATATTTTGAGTACTTGAGTGTTACTTAAGTGTATATTTAGTTGTATATTAACCTGCCAATGTTTTATGTCTGCAAGAATGCATAGCTAGGAATGTGGTTAATTATTTTCAGAAAGATTCCCTTTAGTTTTCTCTAAGGACATGAAATAAAATGATTTTTGACATGTTAATGATTCAGTCTGCCACAGATAAAGCAGCAGGGTTAGTTTAACTAGCAGTTGCGTGCATAGGTTTGTGGGGGGTCCATCTGTCTGTTGTCCATCCAGTGGCATAGCGAGTCAGCCCCAGGGCCCATATGCAAAAACATTGCACGGGCCCCCCCAAACGTTATGGGCTCCAACTCGGTTAACTTAACTTAGGCCCTATTGTTGATTTTTCTGAAGTAAATAACGTTATGTGAAACGTGACTATTCACAAGCTGTTTTATTTACGGTCTAGGCTAATGCTTGGAAATGATGATGAAAGTTTTCAATTCCATTCATTATTTGTAGCACGCAAGCCACCCAATAATCGCAGCTTTGTAACTCGCCATCTCCTCATTGGACGTGCCTTTAGAGAGAAATGCACGGATTACACAATGAAAGAGTTTTTGTTTTCAATTTGAATTATTTCGATTTTAAAATAGTAATTTAAAGCATTCTATAGATATATTTGTCATGTCGGTGAAGCGCTCCTGCTCAAGACCAAGACGACAGAAAGCGCATCCTGTCTGTTTTCCTTATTTTACAAAAGCACAAGGTTTTGTTGATATTGTGAGCGCAGTTCCAAATTATGTGTATACTCTTACCTTTATGAGCAAAACATAAAATGTTCCAAACATATTTCTAAATTAACTTAATAAAGAAACAAAAAGAAATATGACCCCTTTGCCATTAAAAACCAAAACTGAACTATTTTAATAGCTGTGTAATGGGTAAGAGAGAGAGAAAAAAGTCAAGGTATCCAGTCGGACTCATGCCGCTGTCTCGAGTTGTTGGACAAGGGCCGGGCCCATGCAGGGCTCTATTCATTCCCTCGTTTCAGTTAAAAGTTCCCCCCAGCTCGGCGGCCTCCAAACTGCCCGGGCCCATATGCACCTGCATGCCCAGACGCTACGCCACTGTGTCCATCTGTTTTGTTACACCAAAGTGATGAAACATACTACTGACCCAAATATTGTGTAAAAAAATACAAATTCTTCAGTGGTTTGTGAGACAAAAATGTTCATTAATTGACGTCTGAGTGTTTAGTCAAATGTAAAAAACTACAACAACAAAAAACAATTGAGGTGCATCCAAATTTGCATGCTTGTGCCATTTTTAGTATAAATACTGTGAGCAGTGAGTTCACATTGTAAATTCCAAAAAGAAAAAGTGTGGAGTGTTGGACACTTTATGCACTTTCCTTATGGAGGGGGAAGGGCTTTAATGCTGGATGACAAATTAAGCTTAGACAATTAATACACTAGACAATTGTCACAGTTATGAACTTTTAGTTTAGTCCATTTCTGTTAGTTCCTTCCAGTTCCTGTTTTTCCTTATTTGGTTATGTTCCTGTTCTTGTTAGTTCATCATTGGTTAACCCCCTTCACCTGTCTGCCCCTCGTTATTTGCTTTATTTAGTTCTCTCCTGAGTTCCGTTCTTTGTCAGGTGTCTTCCATGGTACCTTGTGTGTATTCCTGTCTTGGATAACCTGTTTTCGTGTGGATAATAATAAATACATGTTTATATTCCTTCATCTTCGTCGTGTGCTTGTCTTCTTACACACGAGAGTGTGACAACAATATAGTACATAGTGCCTAGTGTATGTGCATAGTGTATTGTGCATCATTTGGAACTAGTGCTGTCAAATGATTAATCGCGATAAATCGCATCCAAAATAAAAGATTTTGTTTACATAATATATGTATGTGTACTGTGTATATTTATTATGTGGAAATGCACGGATTACACAATGAAAGAGTTTTTGTTTTCAATTTGAATTATTTCGATTTTAAAATAGTAATTTAAAGCATTCTATAGATATATTTGTCATGTCGGTGAAGCGCTCCTGCTCAAGACCAAGACGACAGAAAGCGCATCCTGTCTGTTTTCCTTATTTTACAAAAGCACAAGGTTTTGTTGATATTGTGAGCGCAGTTCCAAATTATGTGTATACTCTTACCTTTATGAGCAAAACATAAAATGTTCCAAACATATTTCTAAATTAACTTAATAAAGAAACAAAAAGAAATATGACCCCTTTGCCATTAAAAACCAAAACTGAACTATTTTAATAGCTGTGTAATGGGTAAGAGAGAGAGAAAAAAGTCAAGGTATCCAGTCGGACTCATGCCGCTGTCTCGAGTTGTTGGACAAGGGCCGGGCCCATGCAGGGCTCTATTCATTCCCTCGTTTCAGTTAAAAGTTCCCCCCAGCTCGGCGGCCTCCAAACTGCCCGGGCCCATATGCACCTGCATGCCCAGACGCTACGCCACTGTGTCCATCTGTTTTGTTACACCAAAGTGATGAAACATACTACTGACCCAAATATTGTGTAAAAAAATACAAATTCTTCAGTGGTTTGTGAGACAAAAATGTTCATTAATTGACGTCTGAGTGTTTAGTCAAATGTAAAAAACTACAACAACAAAAAACAATTGAGGTGCATCCAAATTTGCATGCTTGTGCCATTTTTAGTATAAATACTGTGAGCAGTGAGTTCACATTGTAAATTCCAAAAAGAAAAAGTGTGGAGTGTTGGACACTTTATGCACTTTCCTTATGGAGGGGGAAGGGCTTTAATGCTGGATGACAAATTAAGCTTAGACAATTAATACACTAGACAATTGTCACAGTTATGAACTTTTAGTTTAGTCCATTTCTGTTAGTTCCTTCCAGTTCCTGTTTTTCCTTATTTGGTTATATTCCTGTTCTTGTTAGTTCATCATTGGTTAACCCCCTTCACCTGTCTGCCCCTCGTTATTTGCTTTATTTAGTTCTCTCCTGAGTTCCGTTCTTTGTCAGGTGTCTTCCATGGTACCTTGTGTGTATTCCTGTCTTGGATAACCTGTCTTCGTGTGGATAATAATAAATACATGTTTATATTCCTTCATCTTCGTCGTGTGCTTGTCTTCTTACACACGAGAGTGTGACAACAATATAGTACATAGTGCCTAGTGTATGTGCATAGTGTATTGTGCATCATTTGGAACTAGTGCTGTCAAATGATTAATCGCGATAAATCGCATCCAAAATAAAAGATTTTGTTTACATAATATATGTATGTGTACTGTGTATATTTATTATGTGTATATATAAATACACACACATACAGTATATATTTTGAAAATATATGTGTATACATTTATATATTTATATTCTTATATTTTATATTATATATAAATATATTTAATATATAAACATAACATATTTTTCTTAAATATATACATGCATGTGTTTGTATTTATATATACATAATAAATATACACAGTGTACACATATATTATGTAAACAAAAACTTTTATTTTGGATGTAGTTAATTACGATTAATCGTTTGACAGCACTATTTGGAACGCATTAGTCTTTTGTCCCATATCTACACTTTTTCATAGCTTTATGAAACATTTGATTCTAATTAGTCAATCGTAATGTTCAGGTCAAATGTTTTTGTGCAATGACCACTAAAGTGTAAATCGTTGTCCCTGACAGCCAGTTTCCTATAATGTGCTTGATTTATGTCTCTCATAGGTCTCTCATGGTTAATGTTAATTTCAACATTTACTAATACATTATTAAAATCAAAATATGTATTTGTTAGTTATTTAATGGACCTGAGCTAACATGAATTAACAATGAACAGTTGTATTTGTATTAACTAGCTTTAACAAAGATAAATAAATACTGTGACCAGTGTGTTACTTAACGTTAATGTTAGTTTACCAATTCATGCATTAACCAATGTTAACTAATAGGACCTTATTGTAAAGTGCTACCCTCAAATCAGTTTTTTATGTATTTGTTAAGTAGCTTTGTAATAATCAGGATAATCTACAATCATTATTGTAAAAATAAACCAACTTAAGATGATACAAGATGACATTCTGATCACACTGTCAGTTTTTTTTTAGGGTTTATTTACACTTTATTTTACAGTACGTGCACTTACCTGTACTTACATAAGAAAGTGCTGAATAATAAAAGGTATCAACATGGGTTAGAGTTAGGTTTAGGTTACAATTACAGATGTGCATGCTGAATAGGACTTTAAAATAAAGTGATACCATTTATTTTATAACTGATTATATATATATATTGACTGTACATGACCCCCTAAATATGTACATACTGTATCTTCTCTTAAATCCACATAGGATGAGCTGATGTTGGAAGAGCACGTGTTTCAGATGAAGGTGTTCTCACCTGAAACGAAGGTAAGAACAAAGAACATAAGCTGACTTTTATTTACTTACTAACTTTATTTACCTTTATTTACTTTTAATATTGTTATTAGTAGTAGTTGTATATTGTGTTATTATAAGCAGTATTAGCTTGTTGAAATGTTTCTTGTTATCCCAAATGTATTGCACAGAAAAAGACATAATATATAAGAGTTTATTAACTTTAGCCACAAAACTTTATTTCTCTGTCAGTACTGGTATGAATTTTAGTTTAAATAATTGTATGTTATGGTTATGGGTTACATTATTTTCCTGACTGTTTTTCTAGGAACGTGAGCTTCTATCAGTAATAAATACCCTCTGTTCATACTGGACAAATAATAAGGGCAAGGATAAATTAAAAGTTGTACAAACTTTTCACATAATGCTGTATAATGTGAGTATGCTGCTTACTCTACCATATTCTGTTTCAAGTATCAAAATGATTCAGTTCTGACTGCATGGTTTCCCTATTTCTCTCTATAGCTAGATGAAAAATTCAAAGACTTTTGTGCAAATCTCAACTGCACGGATGCTTACACAGTACGCGGCATTGACACAGCCACATTTGGAGAAATGTATAAAGAATCTTGCAATGGATCAGTATCAGGTATAGACATTTAACCTCTCATCATTTATCCTTTTCCTTTAGTCTTGCCCTTCCTTAATTTATTCATAAGATGAACAATGGCCACCATAAATCTCTGACAAGGCAACACTTATTTGTAGCTGAAGGCATTGAATTAGCCAGACTATTTATAGAACAAACAAGCTAAATTACACAAACTGGTATGTAGAATGTTATGAATAATATTTTCATTTCAATTTGAAATGGCACATTTTGCTCACTTTCTCTCTTTTTTCTACTTAGACCTGAAGTGTCCATCAAAGAGTAAGTTATTTTACATTATCTCACTTACAGTATATCCATGATGTACCTTTTTGTCTACTCTTTGTAAAAAAAAATAATAATAATTTTTTAAAAGAGAGTCCGTAAGCTGACGAAAAGGAAACCGTTACCTTGTTTAAGTAATAGCCGATTATTTTTTGCACACACATATAAAATGTTGGGTAATTAAATAGGTCTGGATGTTTCTAGTAGTCTATATAATTTTAATTATTCCAAAGAAACTGATTTCTTTAGCTCTCTAAGCACACACAGTATTACACGTTAATCTCTGAGTGTTGTAGTACAGAAATTGTTGCTTTATTAATCTGTTGAAACCTTTTGTAATACATCATGTTTTGTATCACACAGGCGCACCTTTAACAACGATCAGCCCAACTCCTGAATTCAGTAAGCTAACTCAGTTTCTTATTTCATATCTCAAACACAGATATTTCAACTGCCATTCACAAGTATTTAAATTAAAAACAGATCATTAGTTCATGTACATTCAAATATAACTGTATATAAAATGATTTACATCAAAGTTTCATGTCAGATCCAACTATCTGAAAGTACATGAATGAAACATCCCCTACTAAACAAATGTAATTATTAAATAGGGACAACAAACAAAGTATCTCGCTTTGACAAGAACGTCTGGCTTTTTTACTTGTTGAAGCAGATGTGAAACTGAAGATAATGGAAGGGAAAAGAAAACTGTCATATTCAAAGTTTTGCCCATATATCCACTTTCTGAGCACATACGTGGTATTATAGCTGTATTGGTCTTTTGAAGCTAAGTGTAATATAATCTGTTTTCTAATTAATCAGGCACAGCATTTTTAACAACGGTCAGTTTAATCACCACAGATCATGAAAGTAAGCAAATTCAATATTGTGTTTCATATTCACATCAACACAGATTACAGCACAGATACTTTATCTGCCACGTTAATCAGAGTTTTTTGACATCAAACCACGTTTTCTATTCACATAGGCTTAACATCTTTAACAACATTGGTCAGCCCAAACATCACTGCTCCTGAAAGTAAGGATCCCATTGATCTTCTTGAATTAAGTACATACTGAGTATTTGCATGTAATACACTGAGCATTAAATCCTAGTTTTTTTTAAATATAGTACAAATTTGATAAAGAGTTAAAGAAACCAATAGAAATGTAACTGGAAATATTCTTAATTTTTGATTATATGGGGACATCAGATTTATATGACCTACTTTTACAGTTTTTTTTTTTTAATATGATTATGCAATATTTTGTAGATTTGACAGCAGATCCATCGGCACATACAGAAACCATCAGTAAGTTTGTCTCTTGTCCGCTTCATCTGTAATGAGCAGCATAATACCTTCAGCATACACTCAGTAGTCACTTTCAGTGGCCATCTGACATATTGTGCATTCAGAAAGGTCCAGCACCAGCACAGTGTGTCTTTATCTCAGTCATCATCCCATCTGGCCAATCTCTGTTGACCCTTTCAGACCCGTACAGAAATGCTGCCCTTTCCCTATTTTTGATGTTGTTGCTATTTGCACAATTCTCATCTGTTTGTGAAATACTAATTGAATTCAGTAAGCTAACTCAGTTTCTTATTTCATATCTCAAACACAGATATTTCAACTGCCATTCACAAGTATTTAAATTAAAAACAGATCATTAGTTCATGTACATTCAAATATAACTGTATATAAAATGATTTACATCAAAGTTTCATGTCAGATCCAACTATCTGAAAGTACATGAATGAAACATCCCCTACTAAACAAATGTAATTATTAAATAGGGACAACAAACAAAGTATCTCGCTTTGACAAGAACGTCTGGCTTTTTTACTTGTTGAAGCAGATGTGAAACTGAAGATAATGGAAGGGAAAAGAAAACTGTCATATTCAAAGTTTTGCCCATATATCCACTTTCTGAGCACATACGTGGTATTATAGCTGTATTGGTCTTTTGAAGCTAAGTGTAATATAATCTGTTTTCTAATTAATCAGGCACAGCATTTTTAACAACGGTCAGTTTAATCACCACAGATCATGAAAGTAAGCAAATTCAATATTGTGTTTCATATTCACATCAACACAGATTACAGCACAGATACTTTATCTGCCACGTTAATCAGAGTTTTTTGACATCAAACCACGTTTTCTATTCACATAGGCTTAACATCTTTAACAACATTGGTCAGCCCAAACATCACTGCTCCTGAAAGTAAGGATCCCATTGATCTTCTTGAATTAAGTACATACTGAGTATTTGCATGTAATACACTGAGCATTAAATCCTAGTTTTTTTTTTAAATATAGTACAAATTTGATAAAGAGTTAAAGAAACCAATAGAAATGTAACTGGAAATATTCTTAATTTTTGATTATATGGGGACATCAGATTTATATGACCTACTTTTACAGTTTTTTTTTTTTTTATATGATTATGCAATATTTTGTAGATTTGACAGCAGATCCATCGGCACATACAGAAACCATCAGTAAGTTTGTCTCTTGTCCGCTTCATCTGTAATGAGCAGCATAATACCTTCAGCATACACTCAGTAGTCACTTTCAGTGGCCATCTGACATATTGTGCATTCAGAAAGGTCCAGCACCAGCACAGTGTGTCTTTATCTCAGTCATCATCCCATCTGGCCAATCTCTGTTGACCCTTTCAGACCCGTACAGAAATGCTGCCCTTTCCCTATTTTTGATGTTGTTGCTATTTGCACAATTCTCATCTGTTTGTGAAATACTAATTCAGACAATCATTGAATAATTAAACTCAACATTTATTCGTCATTCTGAAGTTCATGTATACAAGCTCATACATACTGACTTGCTGACGATTAGCCGATTAAATATACCAGGTTGCACCTAATGAAGTCACCACAGCTTGTGCATTGTCACAAATGACTTATTTTATTAAAACAGCCATTTACTAATTACTAATAATTTTGTGCATAACTACTAATTGTTTTGTTAAATAAAAAAACTAATATGATTTCTTTCATCATAATCTTTAACATCACAAGCCATTTTTTTTTAATTTTAAAACAAGCCATATATGCCATTGTCTTTTAAGTTGACACTGGCTGCTATGTCTCATGTTTTTCCCTTTTATTGCAGTTAAAGATGACAGTCAGTGGGGTAAGTGTCAGATCTGTGGGTCTTTCTGACCAACTATTTTTGCTTTCAAGTCTTCTCTCTGAAAAAACCCCCCCGACATTTTATTTTTTTGTTTCCAAGCTACCATTAAAACATGTTCTGGACTCCTGGTTGTGTCATTCCTGCTGAATACGGTTTTACTCTTCAAGGTGTTTCACATGCACAGGAAGGTAAAATTGTCTAAGCATTAATTTGGTTTGTGATATTTATATTCATAAATTATATGAATATAAATATATACATGTAAATATTTTCAAAATATATGCTGTATGTGTGTGTATTTATATATACATAATATATGTGTATATTGTGTATATTTATTATGTAAACTGATTAATCGTTTGACCACTATTTTATTTGTGTAATATTTTGAACCTTTGTTAATGAAACCAGTTAAGTTGTCTCTTATGAGAGCAGCTTCATCAGTGATGGGCTTAAGGCCTTCAGTATACACTCAGTGATGGTTTTCATTTTTGTTTTTTTACAGTCAAAAACATCCAGAGAGATGACACACTTAGAGTTACAAGGTAGACATCTGATTAGGTAACACCCTTTTTGTAGATTATGGAAAAGGTTTCAAATGAGCAGGATATACAGTATATGAAGCTTTTACTAAAGCTTTTACAGCTGTCTTGGACATTCAGCCATGTATACATGACAAGAATGTTAGAGTATTTACATTATTCTTCTTTCCCCTTTTTTCCTTGCAGTAAATGAATCATTTTAGCACTTCGGTAAGCTGATTTTTTTTGTCACTCATCTAATTTTTAATCATTGAGTTTCTGTATTTATTCTTTATACATCTAATCTTTTTTTTTTTCTTGTTCAAGTGGGTCACCTGTTGATGTGTTTCTCCAGCTACATAATCATTCTCCAGTCATCTGTTACTGCATCCACACTCTCTATGCATGACACAGTGCTGTTTTTAAATCTGTGACTTGCAATGTGCCTGACATGCCCACACAGCTTGTGTATTTTTCAGTTTCTAATTGTAATTGTCTTGAATGTGCCTCTGTAACTGTTATCCATCATCTATCAGGTACATGGGATATGTTTTAAGAAATACTTTAAATATACCATAATTTGCAATAGAAGAAACCCCCTCTTTTTAACACTTTATTTTATTAATCTTGGTATTTATTATCATTGTTTTTATTTGATCTACTTACCCATCCCCGGTTCTCTTTGTTCTGTCTATTATATATTTTTGTTTACACAAAAATATTATAACTAGTACAGAAATTATTGGGAAAAAATCCTTCCCCTTTAGCATTCAGGCCCCGAATGGTTGTACCAGACAGGGGAACGAAAAGTATTTACAGCCAAGATACCGCTGCAAAAAAGTAATATATCCTGTTGTTTTCAGGAGTTTGTATTTTATTGTATTGTTTATTTTATACGATATTTTTGTTTATATTTTGCTATGTTTGCATGTAAGAGAGGACATATATATATATATATATATATATATAACACATATAATATATTTCTGGGTATCTCAGAGAATGTAAATTTTATGTTATTGATCTTTGTGCTTTTGTGTAAAATGTACAATTGTTTGCTGCAAAACACATCCAGTAAAACAGGAAATATGATCATGTATATCTTAGACCTCATTAAATCGCACTAAAAAGTTCTCATTAAAATAACAGATGGACAGTCATTTTCATTATTTTGTGTCTTCATTACCAAGAAGTAGTATGTGCTCCCTACTATATTATATCCAGTGTTGGGGAGTCTAGTTACATGTAACGGCGTTACGTAATTTAATTACAAAATAAATGTAACTGTAATCAGTTACAGTTACTAAGACAAAATGTGTAATTAAATTAGTAACTTATGAAAATGTTAACGATTACAAAGGGGATTACATTTGAATATTTACACACATCCACATACAGATTTAATTGATTTCTTTCCCAAATTGCACTGACTACTCTGAGACATACGGCCCTATAATTTCCGCGATGCGGAAAACACGGACTGGTTCATAGAATATAGTCATAAAAACGGAATTCCTATAGCCTAACGCGGCCGGAATATGCCACATTTTGGACGAATAAATCAAAAGTAGGTCGATACACTTGGATCAAAACGCGATATAGACTAGTGTCTGTGAATATTAAGCCGCAAAAAGACAAAATATGAATCCTGCACGCAGTGGTGTAACTTAGTAATGACGGGCCCCAGTGCAGGCTATTACTACGGGCCCCCTGGGGTGCACGGTTATGAAGCACATGCAAACACACAGCGCTCGTGTCTAGAAGGGAACCCATATATGCACATTTGTGCCTAACCTACATAATTTAGACCAACTAAAATCAGTATCTTATAAGTTTCTTATATTAAATTGAATATCGAAACTCAAATTGAAACTCTTTGGGTGCGTCTCTCTCTAACACACACGGCTGTGCGTGCGCCTGGCCGCAGCAGCCAGAAGTAGCTACCAAATTAATCGTGTTGAATTTTACAGTCATCAGCATGTGTTACCTATTGTAGCCTATTTGCAGAGCACAGAAGGCAAGGTTATCAGAAGCACTGAGTGTTTCAGCGCTGTGGTGCTGAAATTACCGCAAACTTTTTTTTTTTTAGCACAGTAACCCAGTAATCGCGGCAACCGCATTCCTCTCCGAAAAGCAAGAGACTAGATAAGAAAGAGGTCTAAAAATTATCAACACCATAAATCATGGCCAACTTTAGCGGCAACAACCACACACAAATGGAATACCCACAACAAGCACATAGTGTGTATATGTGCTTGTGTGTATTACATTTGTGGCGCCTGCAGGTGCACGCTCAGACTGACCTGAGATTTGCCCCGCAAACATTTCAGCAGTTATTATAGGCCTGTGTGTCCCGTATTTCTGTCGACTGAACCAGCCATGCCATTAATTATGAATTTATCAGTCTTCTGCACGCCAAAGTCAATTTCTGCGTATAAACATTACGCCAAATAGAAGCAGAAAATCGTACTTTCACGAGATCGGGTTAGCCTACAACAATTAATTTGTAGTCTATTTTACAAATGGGAATTCATGACAATGTTTTACATTCAAGCTACCCGTGAAATTTTAGTGTAACGTTCTTTAAAATCATCTGGAATGCAATAAAGTAATTTTTAAAGCTGTTTTTAAAGCATTTGCT